TGTGTTAAAAAGAACACAACTCTAAAACCATTTTTCTTTGGTGAATATATTTTATCCAGAAGGTTATGGAAATTTACTGCTAAGCATCATACTGCTAATGCAGAGGATCTAAATCTTTCAGGTATCCTAATAAAGATTGGCTTTATGGTCCAGAATGCAAAATGCAAGGCTGAGAAAATATATCACATACAAAGGACAGAAATCCAAATCAGCATTTTGAAAACAAGAAAATAATTTTGTGAGAATAGAGGGGTTGGGTTTTATTGTAAATATTTTACAGAATAATCTTCATCTAAGGAATGTACCTAAATGTCCCAGAAGTTGAAAATACCAATGCTTCTGAGAAAACACCTAGATAAGACTCAGAGTGATGTGGATTATTACCTACTATTTTGTCTGAAATTTCATTGAAGCATAACAGGAAGATTTATAAAGACTTTGTATAAAATATCAATTAAAGAAAGGGAGATATACAGGCACCCAGATAAAAGGCACCCAGATATACGGGAGAATCAGGAGAAAATACAACAATCCCCTCTTTTTAGGCGAAGAACAAAAAAAAGGACAATATTCTTATAGGTACAAAGATGTCTGATTAAATTATTTTATTTTAGTTGTGTACATGGGCAGGAAACTACTGATGATATATAATTTTTAACTACACGCAGCTTCCAGTTTTGATTCTGCCTTAGAAAACAGGTCAGACCCATCCTGATGCTTCCCTCATAGCAGGTAAAAAGGGGTAAGCAGGAGTAGGTCAATATTCACTATGTGAAGGTGCTGGTGGAAAAGGAGCTGAATATTTAGAGCAGAGGTAAAACTTGGGATTTTAAAGTATTTTAAAATTCCTGTGATTGCACCATGGGAATATTAAACACCTGTGAGGAGGAGCTGCCTCAGGCTAGCACGCCGACTGGGGGCTGCCTCTGGATCCAGCTCCTCAGCAGACACCTTCCCAGACCCAGAGGGCAGGAAGCCTTGTGTGCACAGCCCAGTGCCATCCTCATTCTCCTGCTCACCACTTCTCCTGCCCCCATCCCTGTAGGTGCCGGGTATGGGCCCTTCTCTGCATGTGGAGACCTTCACAATGCAGAAAGAGCAGGCTCAGGCACATCCAGGTTTAGGCAGCAGTTGTGAGGTTTATTTTGAAGGATACAAGTTTGGGGTTTAGCCCTTTTGTTTTAGGCAATAATGTTCTTTATTAGAGCTGACCCTGAGCATCTTGCCCAAGGTTGTGGAGCCAGATCTTCTCAGTACCACTTACAACATAGGATGTGACCACGGATATGCAGGGAGGAGTCCATAACCCCAGAGATCAGCCTCTTTCACCTTCAAGACCCCACCATGCTAATACTGACTTCTGTTTCTATGGGAATGAAAGAGTTGTGTCCAAACCAGTGCATATATTTAGTATATAAACACAATGTTTATTTTGTACTTAAAAATTGTACTTGCACAAGGCATGAATCACTTTGTCTGGCCTGCATACATTTACATTATGCAGTAGGACAATTTGCTAGATTTCGGTGAGATAGGACACTAGTAGCTTTACTAAGAAAGAATTTTGCCTTACAGATTGATGTAAGTAGCAATCCGGTTTGAAACACCAGAGGATGGATTGTGGGAATGAACATTTATGTGCAGATTGTTCAGGCATGTGCTGGTATTTGGTGCTGAATAGAGCTTTTAGTGATGACTGTGGGAAACTTCGAATAATAGCTTTAAGAATTTGCCTGACAATGAGCCTGAATAAAATACCCTGGTATTACAAGATATTTTCTTTTCAAAATAATCACACATTAATAAAATATATTATAATGAGTAGTATCACTTCTTCACTCAAGAATATTCAATTTCCATATATTTCTAACAGTTGAATCTGGGCTCAAATCACAGCAGGTAAATACTATTTGCAGTTATCATTTTTGATTGCTTTTCAGTTAGAAGTCTTTTACTTCAACTTCTTTGGAATGAATAAGACAAAAATATATATGTGCTTAGGATATGTATCTGTTTTGACTGTCACTCAGAAAGAAAGGAAGGAAAAAAAAGCAAGATTTTTTTTGGAAGAAAAAAGCCAGCAATTGCAATTCAAAACTATAAAATATTTTTTAGAGTTCAAGCATGGGATTCATTTAATTCAATGATTTCTTGCAGTGTGAGCACCTACCTTGGAGCTAGGTATCTTAGACCTAAGCATAAAAAGGAAGGAAGACCATGAATAACAGGATAGAAAACAAATCAGAATGTTGCTCAAAATATTGTTGAAGATTTATTGTCAGAGCCTCATGTTAGACTCTCCTCTTCATGTCATATAAAAGGGATGAGGCAGCAGAAGGTGTTATGTAGGAATTGCTAAAACTCTGCTTTCATGGGAGGATAATTCCTCTGGCTTAAGAGCCACAGGAAGCAGGAAATTTTTCAGTCTGAAGCAGTTCTTTTAGGCCCTGGAAATGGCAGGTGTATGTACAGCAAAGGATGCAGTTAGAGATGCAGAACTGGGTGACATTTTCTTCCACAGAGTAGTGTGAGGTAAAGAAGGATTTCTTTTAGGTCTGGAAAACCTTGTAAATTATGTCTGAGGATTCTTATTGTTTATTTATTGCTCCAAGTCATTGAGTGCGACAGTCTGCACATTTCAGTGACAGATCCATCTGACAATCCTCATGGAACACCAGGGTTTATGTAATTTAGCAATAGCTAAGTAATAGCTAATCTGGGAGCATCTTAAATGATGATACTTTACAACCAGATGTTTTTTGTGTTTTCCCGTCATGATTATTCCAAATCTGTCACAGGAACGTGAGTACTGTTAAAATTTGAGATCTGAGACCCTCCCCCATCCTCAGTGTCTTTCCTCTCTTGAACAGTAGTTGAAGAAGTGGGAGGTGATGCATTAAATCCTGTTAATACTTTTAGTTGGTTTATCCTTTCTGTTTTGACATTGTGTCTTGTATCTGTCAGTCTTACAGATGTACATAAAATTGGCTTAAGGAACATATTCAATTGGCATACAATTTTTAACCAGTGTTGCTCATAAATCATACACAGAATGTAACAGTTCTAAGTGGAAAAGGCATGGATGTTCATGACTTAAGAATTCCATGAAGCTCATAAATTCTTTTGGAAACCTGGCTTGAAATAATGTGGGCATACAGTTTCCACTTATTTTTTTCTTTTACTTTTGCTAAGCTAAGAGCAAATTTTAAAACCTGCTTGGCCATGAAGGAATCACAACTTCCATCAGTTTATTCATTTTGTTAGAAACTCAACACTTCTAAGCCTGACAGATTTTTTTATCATTGATTATACTGATGAAAATCACAAAATTGCTGTACATAGACAAGGTGAAGGGGAAGGTTTACTTTACTAAATTAGCTATTGAAGCGTGTATGGAACACAGGAGTGTCTAAGCTAATTAAAGGACACAGGTAGTACTTAACTATTAAAAAGGAAAAGCTACTTCATGTCCACTGTTGACATATCAAATATTTTTTTCTAATACAGTGGGTTTAACACTACTGATTTGGTAATTGTAGACCTGGTCATTTAGGATTCTGTTTACTTCATCAGGTCCAAAATAATATGTTTTGTGATTATTTTTAAACTGTTCAGTCATTTTGAAAGTAGAGGCTGATGGTACCTCCTGAGACTTTACTTTAAAAAGAAAATAACTCTGAGAGCTTTGCAAAATTTTGCTTGCAGACTTTCCATACTTTAAAAACCTGCATGTGCAACTTGGTTAATGCCAATCTATGGTACATATGCTGGGACATTTTTTTTTTCTTGGTATATATGCACCTATTTCTGTATTCACTTTGGGTAAATTTATTTCCACATACATATTTCATCCTTTATTCTTTAGCAAGATTTCCTGTCCAGTCTGTCTGTATACATGCCGGCTACAAATTCAACCAAAAATATATAAGCAAAAGAAAAGGAAAGAGTTAAGATTCTGTGCTGCAATACTGTTCATTCTTTTTGCTATTAACATAACAGCAAAAGCTACCAGGTCAGGGTATCTTTTATGTCTATGAGGGTAATCTGTATCTGATCTTTGCTCTTTCCTGAAAGGGTTTGTTTTAAATAACCCCAGTAGTACAAAATCTCACATTCAGAGCCTTCTATTTTAGTTCTACTTCCAAGGGAATTACTCCATTTTTAACCTGCCTCTTGCTCTCTTTCCTAGCGTAAAGCTGTGTGATTACAGAGGAAGAGTGATGAAACACATCAGCTCTGTCTCTTAATCTTCTTATAAACCCTAACAGATTTTGAAGATGAAATTTGGCAAATGTTAATTGTACATACAGAATTCATGCTGGGAAAATCTCCTTCAGGAAAAAAAAAATAGAGAAGGGAAGAGAGCTGAGTGCACAGCCGGACTGTTATGTAAGATGTTTATTTCCATCAAGTCTAGCCCAGTGAAGGCTATGCAAAAAAATAGGCCAAAGCTGCAGAGTTGTGACATCGTAACGTATCCAGAAAGGTCAAAGAAATCACTGGCACACTGAGAAATACTACTTATAGTAATGGCAATTTTATTCTATACTTATTTTCTTTTCCCCTACAATTTGGAATAGAGCCTGATAGTGTTAAGCAAGACTGGTCTTTTTTAAACCTTCTGAAGAAACATGTTTGGGATAGTGCACGGTGGCATAGGAACAAGGCCGTGAAAATTGTTGCTTTGATGACAGAACTAAAGCCAAAAAACTATAAAGAGACTGGTAGAGGGTGAAAATTTACATTTGGCTAAAATCTGATTTTGGAATTTTGTCTTAAAATATGTGAACACCCTCCATACGGCTGATCTGAATGAATTTTCTTTTCTTGTATGTTGCATATAATAAAAACAAATACAGGGGGCATTTTATGTGATCATATATAAGTATCTTCACTTGAGAAGAGCAGAAGGTACTTTTAATTCATGTGTTATTCCTTGCCCTGTGTGAAACAAGATATTTCAAGAAAGGCAAGTACATGGTGCTGAGAGACCAGTGTCAGCTGCTAAAAGACACAAGTACCCTGACAGCGCAGGGAGGCCAGAAGAGCTGCATCAAGTTTCCAGGCTCCAAGCTGCCTCTGCTGAGCAGCCAAAGCCTCCCACATGACTAAAACATGGGATCTGCACTGTAGAGGTCTGAAGTCAAGTGAAACCTCATCCCAAATATCCTTTTGTACCTCTATCTATTCTGGGACAAGGAGTCAACATGGTTTCTCACATGGACACTTCCAGGCAGGTATGTTGCATAGTGCCTGGCACAATGGAGACTGCTTTAAGGCTTCATTAATATTGTGTGACATCTACCTCCCAGGAATCCTGGGAAAATATCCTTACCTCAGGATATTTTCCACTTGCAGAACTATCCAGCCCTAATGCTCAGTGGTATTTTAATATCATAACATTAACCTCTGTGATTAAGACACTTTTCTGAGTTAAAAAAAAAAAAAAAAAAAAGTAAACCTGTAAATATCTTATTAATTTGAAGTTTAATTTATTATGGTAAATTTTTATCTGAGTACTTTAAGTCTTTTGGGGAATGCAACCCACTCTTGCTTGCTTACTCATGGATGGGCAATTAGGCACATGAGATGATCCCACAGGCAACTTCAAGGTCATGGCTACAGGTTTAGTTTTTGTTGTTTTGAAGGTGTTGCCTTCAAAAACTAGAGGGCTAGTCTGTGCCCTTGTGAGAACCTCAAGGCACTTATTTGTATTTGAAATTTTATACCTCCAGCAGTATAGTCATTGCAACTGAAGAATGGAACTTACAATGGAACAAAAATATTTTATTCCTATGAAACTATCTGGCCGTGTAAGCCCTAATATGCCATGCCCTTTCATATTTGCAACGTGTAAACCGATGTCCTGGGCTGATGATGGATTCTGAAGGAAACAGAAGAACTACTTTCAGCTTCAAAGTGGTTCAGACAGCTCAACCTTTTTGCACGTCTTAATTACAAACTAAATATATGTCCTTTAACAAAGGTTAAAACTTTACATGTCATGACAAAAACTTCTTGATTCACTGTAATTTCCTTTAGCTCTGTCCCTTGGCTAACTCTTTTGTAAGACTTATTTGATTAGGGTTTAAATGAGACAAAATGGAATTATAATAAGCACTTAAACAAAACCAAGTTTGTCGTGATTATTCTGTGATTTATAGCTGATATGCAGAGGACAGAGGAATATTACTCAAAAGATGAGAATTTTGTACCTAAAACCTGAACAACTCTAGTGCAACCAAAATTGAACTGTTGTGTCCATTTTCTTGATGATGATAGAATCACCAGTATCTTCACATTGGACTTTTCATAAAGATCCATCTGAAAACTGTTTTATCCTTTCAGGTTCCCTTGACCATTATTTTGCTGATCGAGTGAAATAATTTACCAAAGCACTATAAGCATACTTCGAACGCCTCATGTATTGAAAGGCTGCAGATCCGTATGCTTGCTCTTTCAATTCTTTTGTGTTTGACAGTGAAAACTGGGCCTAACTAAAGAGTTAAGAGGTTTCTTTCTGTTATCTGGTGTTCCCATCTTGCCAACCTCTACAGATCATCCAGGTTAATATCGCAAGTTACAGAGTGGTCAATCTTTGTGGGTTTTAGATGGCAGCTTTCCCAATATTGATTCAGATGAGATTTCCCAATATTGATTCCCTCTCCCTTTCTTTTTTTTTTTCCCCAAATCTGAATAATATATTTTTGAATTACGAGCCAGCACAGTTTTCTTGATCTTCCAGATTGCATTAGTCATATATCATGGACTTCAGGTTATCAATTAGCAGCAGACTTACCCCACTGCTAATCTAATCAGACATGTCTTCTGCCAGAGCCACTTTCATCCACAAATACCAAATGGAGATGCAGAACCTGCTGTGCTGTGGGGAATTCTGTGCTCCCATTGTTTGAATGGATGTTTGTAAAAGGAAAAAACTGTCTCTAATGTCCTTCAGACCTGACACAGACATTATTAAGTCACTTTTGACAGTGGATGTTTGGAAACAAAAAAATGACTCTGTGGTCTGTTTCAGCTCAGCCTAGAGGTCAAACTGGAGAATCCAACTAAAACCCAACCTCAGCCTTTCTAAGGTTCAGTTTACTGTTAGCTTAGGTACTCCCCCTCCACCCCTCATCCAAAATCTTCCTGTTTTTACAGTAGTACTGAACCTGGAGATATTTTTGGGTTTTCTTGGTCACTGATCTTTCTATGAGTATTTGAATGGATAAAACTAAGCATATTTATGAAACAGGGATGTATATATATGTGTATATTAGTAAAGTATTTTCCCTATCCCACCTTTCCCATCTCTGCAAAAGTTTCAAGAGTTTTAAAATTTTGGTTTTGCCAATTTCTATTTCAATTGCTATGTTTGCATACTGCTACATCCCTTATCTTTCTAACTGATTTCTGTTTTGTAGTGGCCACTGAAGCAGAAATAAAATTATTTGTGATCTTTTCCTATGCTCATCAAGCAAACATCTTGAAAATGACTGAAGAAAATACATTCTTTTTAGTGCCTCAGCAGTGGCTTGTAATTTGTGAAAAAGGAAGGTAACTGTTTGAGCAGTATCTGTCAATGTTCAGAAACTGCCTCAAAGATGGCTGGAAAAAGTCACCTTAAAATGCCAGAAGTCTGTTGTTCTCGCCATTATAGAGAATGAAATATTACCTTGAATTAATTTTCATATACTAATATTGCCCTCTCCTACACTTCAATCCATGCAAATTATATTTTGGGCTGTTATTCAAATAATCAAAGATGCATTGTTGATGTTAAATGTTATGGAAAATTTTTATCAGAGATGATAAAAACCTATACAGCCCCTGACAAAACCTGCAGAGCCTTGCAGGACCAAACTAAATATACTTAGCTTCATAAATTCAGTACAAAGGATATTTTCAGCTATATGAAGGCAAACACATACAATTTTGTGAATGCTAAACATAAAGAGACTCTTACATGCACTTCTCAGAAAAATATATCTATATATGTATGCCTAATTTTACCTTTGGTGCATACTCATCTTTTATTCAGAAGAATGGGAAGGCAGAGAAATTGGCACTTCTTATAAGCTTTAGTACAGGCCAGATAAGAGGGCAGTGGAGTGGCTGAGAGGCCAGGTTTAACAGGATAAGGGCGAGCTGGAAGCCAGTCACCAGTGGTGCACCTTGGGGGTTGATACTGGGGCAGTACTGGTGAAACTCCTCTTTATTGATCTGGATGGTGACACTAAAGGTAGCACCAGCAGGTTGTTGAAAAATCCTTTACTGTGAGAGTAGTGAGGCACCAGAACTGGTTGCCCAGAGAATCTGTGGCTTCCCATCCCTGGAAATGCTCAAGTCCAGCTTGAATGGAGCTTTTAGCAACCCGATTAGTGGAAGGTATCCCTTGTCCTTGCAGGGGTAGATAATCTTTAAAGGACTAGATAATCTTTAAAGGTCCCTTTGAACTGGAACTTTTCTATGATTTTATGATTCTATTATTTTGAAATAATATAAAGGCTAAAAAGACAAAGTAATAGTGGGATTTAGGAGCTAAAGTAATTGTCCTTCAGACAAAACTCCTGGCAAATGCACTAATGTGATGGAAAATGCTACGCTTCTGAAAAATTTTTACACCAGGCCATGCAATATTTTGGAAAATTATATCACTTCCACAGATATAAGAATGGGATACCTCAGAAAATCTAGGCAAAGATTTTAATGTTCTATTAGAAGAGAAAGTTTTCTAGTATAATTTTTGTAAAGCTGTACTCCTTCTCAATAGCAGATGCTTGGCTTCCTCACACCATTCAGATCCTCAGCAGTAGTATTAACATTCTTTATTGTTATTGGTACTTTTGGCTTTCTTCTGCTTTCACTGGTGGTATAAAAAAATGAAACTCACAGCAATGATAAACTCGATTCAGAGTGGCTGTATCTAGTTACTAGAGCATGCATTCTATCTGTCATGGTCTTTTAGGCTTCAGAGAACTAGCAAATGCTTTTAGCCTTTGTGACTCCTTATGGTGAGTGCATACATTACTGTCTGGTTTTATACACACTTCATGGAAATGCAGTTCTTTTTTTACTCTCTGGTATTCTCTCTGAGGCATAACTGCTAAAAACACTGTTAAACTTCAAGTCAAGTGCAGGATGGCTATGAAAGATCAGAGATGAAAGAGCTAGGGTTTTTAAAAATATGATTGGTATAGGAACATTCTCTAAAATAAAATAAAATAAAATAAAATAAAATAAAATAAAATAAAATAAAATAAAATAAAATAATAAAATAAAATCCACTCATCTTGTTCTACAGGATCACCTGAAAGTGTGCTTAGCCTATCTGATAGATATTTGACAATCAGGTAGATATGTGATTATCTCATATGTGGATTTACACAGGAAGGGAATTATGCTATTGTGTAAAACTCTTCTGACATGCTTCTCCAGACTCAAAGCACTGAACCTATTTACCAGCCAAGCAATTGCTTTAAGTGAACTTCAGGCTACAATGTGCTTGGTATTGGAGAATATTTGAGTGCTGTACATGCTGTGGTTTAGCCATTCTGTGTCTTCCTTTTTTGTGGAATTCTGACATCAACTGTGTCTGTCATTAAACGTAAACCAGTTATTACTCTCTGTAAAAGCAATATGAAAAAATGTTACTGTGTGTGTTTCCATGGTTGATAATTTTCTTCTTTCACAGTTTCAAAATTCATATGAGTCCAGTGATATTCTCCATTATTTATTTTTACAGTAAATCAGGTATGTCAGTGATCATACAATGCACACCAACTGGAGAAAAAAGATCCAGAGTATGTAATGGCTTCTCATTCTTCATTTTGATGTTTCTCCAATGACTGTCAGGTAAGGATACGAATCTGGTACCCATCTTTTCTCCCTCTGTTTTATGCAAAGCTCTAAAAATCTAAGAGTTATGGTTATACAGAGAGGCTACATGAAACTTCAGCAGTGCTGCAGCATTTTCTGCTGTAAAGCTGCACTTGTTCAGGAGGACTTCAGCTACATTAGAGTAGGATGCTATTTATGTACATTTATTTCTCCTCTAAAAGTTTGCAAAGGGCAAACTAGGTAATGTGATTAAGTGGCTGAACACAGTAAAGGTCCCAAAAACTAGGTCATTATTGAGATTAACGACTGGATTAAAAGGATTTAGGAGAGTGGTAGGATTTTGATTTGCATATTACTCCAAAGACCTTTGACTTATGTAAAGCCTCCTCTTAAAGACTATCAAGCCAAAGTATTACATCAAGCAATTTAGTTGCTGCAAATTACTCTTGCCTGTTTTTTGACCTTGCATGTTATTACCCATATTTCTACACTGGAATTGTTTTTCATAATTCAGCACTTGTATTGCTCCTTTGGATGTGGCAGATTCAGGGGGACCACTATTGTGAAAGAGATAGGTTATAAAATAATTAAATCTTATTAAGTATTAGCTATGGGATTCTTGAAGGATTTTACTTGAGAGCATTTTAGCCAACTGCTAAAAAAGGAGACATTGTTCACCAGCAGAAACCAGCAATTTAAAAAAAAATCAAGTCTTCCTCAAAAGCCTCACAAATTTATTTATATTAATCTTTGTGCCATTCTACAAGAGTACACACAATTGTTTTTGGTGTATGAGAAATGTATCTAACTGCTTTGAGCAATAGAGCTTGAAGGTCTGCATGGGCAAAGTCAATTATTTGGCATCAGCTAAAGGAAAAAATTAGTTTTAGGTATTACTTGGTATAAAAGTCCCTCCATTGGCAGCATGTGTTTGTGCTTTACCCTGTGAAAGTGTTATGGCACTTGTATAAAAGAAGGATGTTGGGGTGATTTTCTGTGGGCCATTTAGCACAGACAAATGTGATTGTGGGAAACAGGACAGATGACATTCTGAGGACAAATGATTCTGTAAGACACAATGTTTGTGACAGTAAGCAAAATAGGAGAAAAGCCCCAAATACACCACAGGGTTAGGAAAAGTAAACAATCTTAGGATTTCCAGCAGAAGTCCAGTACATGACAGATAATATTTGCAGATTGTATTTTCATAAATCATAGTCTTTCTATATTATTCAGTCATTTGTGTCTGAACAGCACTATGCTTATTTTTATGATCCTCTAACCTGACAAATGGTTTTACTATTTTACTGCTCTGCTTTTAAACAGTATTGCTTTAAAATGTCTGTCTCCACTGGTCCATCCAGGGTTGCGAAGACCTCTTTTCAGAAATTGCTTCAAAAACCCTCAAATTCAATAGTAGAAATTCTGCTCAGAAGTGCTAGTTAACACCCATCTGTCTGAAAGCCAGATGAATAAGTGGTGTATGGGATCATCAGTTGATCTAAAGGACTCATGTAAATACGTTACTCATAAGGTGTAGGTTTTTCTCAGTAAGTCAATCTTAATTGTGCAGTGAATGAAACAATACAGAATTAGGACCAAGGAATGGTCCAATATTTTGAGTTTAGATTTATTGTTCAGGAGTTTTAGTGTCAATATATAACTTATGAAATGTTGTATGAGTCTATTAACTTCTTTATTTTAAAAATCCCAAACTAAAACATATCCTTCTTACATTTAGAACATACCAGAGCTGCTCTCAGAAGCCAGCTTCAGCACTAAAAAATTGTTCCTTTCAATGTTTCTTTCTGTCAGGACTTTTGAGTGAGAGAATGGGGAAATACAGCTTTTCCACCTCCTGGCTTCATCCACTTAATTTTGTTTGCAGTCAAGCTGGGTTTTTATTTCTACAGCATTCAGATTTCATAAAATGTTTTCTCCTCTCTAAAAATATTATTCTTCTTCCTTTCCTTAAGCACTTTCCCACTGTAATTACAGAAAACATTGTAAATGTGCATTGGGAAAAGGTGTCACCATGTTTCTAAATCCAGTCTCTGAGGTCCCAAGGCTGGAAGAAAATGGAGGAATAAAGAGAGATGGAACAAAAGCTGATATGGTAAATTGATCTGAATAATGCCTGTGGTTCTGACAGGTGCTAGGTTTTGATCCCAGGATCTTTTTTTTCTCTGTTCTATTTAAATAATGACCTTTGACTTTAAAATGTGAGGATCACAGGCTGCCTCAGTTAAAGACAAAAAAATCAATATCCAAGGTGAAGATTTTGCTTCTCTGTATTGTTTCTTTATCCTTTTCTGGAGTCTTGGCTGGAATATCTTCAGAAGGAGTTGTGGAGAGCTGACCCTATCCAAAAATTCATATAGCCTCATGGCAAAGACGACAATTTCAGAAGTGAGAACTCTGCCTTTGAACTTTTTTACACGGAGGAGATGTCCAGGCCAGGAATCTTACACATCCTAGGAAAAGTGCCCTTGCCACTATGCTGTAGCATTAGAAGTAATTTGTAGTGATAAGCTATTGCAACTACCTTTCTGAGAGTCACATCTTGTTGATTTACTTTGCACATGCGGTGAGGATAGTTAGCAGATCACTAGCTCGAGGGGATTCCCATTGAGAAGTGTCATGTTGCTGGACTCACTTCAAGTTTGAATGGAAGATAGATGCTGAAAGATCCAACTGCAATGCTCATGGTCCCATGGAAAACAGAATTTTAGCTACGAGTAAACCTTAGAAGCACAAAAGTAAAAAATAGCTGAGTAACTGGTCTGGAGTTGTAATATTCAAAGATAATTTTGATGTTTAAGAGCCTTAATGAAGTCTTTCAAAAAGACCACTGGTTTGGAAGGCACAGCATGTTGGAACAGAAGTCCTGTGACAGAAGAACACCAGTGCCATGAGTTGTCCCCAGCTCTGCACAGAGGGGTGAGGGTGCTCCTGCAGCCAACCCTGTGGCAGATCCTGGAGGACCTGCGTGGGAGCTGCGTGGGAGCCCCTGCACACACAGCCCCTGGCTGCCTCCGAGCCCTGCGTAGCAAACATGTTGGTGGCTTGTACTGGTTCATCACGACTGACAAAAACATGTTTATTATTATCTATTCTTGGCTTCAGTAGCTGTTTCTTGCTCCAGCAGAGTTTCCTATCTAATGAAGAATTAAATTATTTTCTCTACAAAATGAAGAATGAGCTAAGTGATATTTCTTTTATTTTTGAGGATCAAAGCAAACATTTAAATGCACAAAATCAGGATTGTTTTAAAATATTGATTTTTTATTACAAATTATTATTTGCAGAATCTATAATGAATCAGTCCTGAAAGAATAATTAGTAAACATCAGTTTTAACAATGCTACAGAACAACTTAAGGGATTAAGGAAACATTTCTTTAAAATAATCACAGATAAACCACAATTTTTCACTATCATTCTTGCAGACATTATGTTTTGGATGAAGATTCCTGGTTTCTCGCCAACTCTTTCCAATCTCTGAGGCAGGGAAAAGTGACTTCAACAGAGTCAGTGGAAAAAATCAGTTCCAGAAGGAATCTTCATGGCTACTTGATGGTTAGTGAAGTCAAAGTGTTCAGCCAATGATGCCTAAAGCAGCTTGGCTAACACAGCTCATAAACATGCTGATAAATTCAGAAAGCTTGCTACAAAAAAGATAAAAGTTCGAGGTACTGCTTGAAGATTAGTGTTCTTCAAGCAAATGTATTTAAAATATGTCATGTATAGGCCACAGAGAAGAAAAAAAGATTATTGCTTTTTCTTTTAAATGAAAACAATTTTTCTTGAAAGAACCAGCCACTTTAAGTAACAATGCAAAAATCTCTCACTCTTTCATAAAAATAATTACAGATTAAAAAATCGGGTATGCACACCATGAATTTCAGCAGGGCAACATAAAAAGAGCTCTAGCTCACAGGGGCTGTGCAATACATTGGAAGTTTAATGTTTGGACTTCTCAGTAGCTCAAACAGGTCTCAAGCAGGCCAAATATCTTGATGCCTTATTCAACCATCTAGCTATAAAGGGACAGCCTTTCCAAGATTCTCAAGATAACTCAAAAAGATGTCAACAGAACATTTCTGGTAGAATCCAGACACGTTTGTATCATTTCATGAGGTGAATTTGTTTGGAGTGGTTAAGTTTTTTGTGTCAGCTTCTGTTTTTTGTTGGGGGTTTTGTTTCTTTGTTTGGGGTTTTTGTTTTGTTGTTGGTTTGTTGTTTTATTCTCTTAAATCCCACAGGTATGTACAGTGTTAAATATGTATGGAAGTGTTAAATTGTGGCCAAGAATTTCTTCCCCAAACAGTTTCTACTCCACAGACTTAATCTTTAACTATGCAGTAGCTGGGTGGCTTCTACACCAAATTTGACAACTGCATTTCCTGTAACAGGTACATGGGTAGCCCACTTCCAGAGGTCAATGGATTCCAATCTGGCTAAAATATCTTTTTTAGGATAAACTGTTATCACCCTCAGGAAGTTTTTGTTACTTTTCATTGACTCTCACTTAGACTACATTTTTTACTTCTAGATGGCTAAAGTTAGGTGAATGCCATATGAAAAAACAGTTTAAATGATAATGGGACAAACAGGAATGTGAGAAGAAACCAGAAAAAAGAGGAATTTTTTAAACTATGTTTTAGAATTGATCAGTGCAGTGTATAGCCCTTATCAAATCTGTACCACAAGCTGCATTTTTTTACTAACCTAAGTTTTAATCACTTCAGTTGGAATGCAGAGAACATCTATTAGTAGGAGGAAGATGGGATTTGCTATTCAAATTCAGCCTGCTAGTCAGAAAATCCCTTGTATATCATAAATTAATTAAATTGTCTGTTTTTCTTTTAACAAAATATAATGCAGATTACTGACTATTTCCAACATGATAGGTTGTCATATCAACTTAACTTACAAGAATTCGAATCATATTCTATTTTGCATATGCCCACAAACATGCATATTTCTCCAAACTCCAGTTGCAGAATGGAGTGT